GTATACCAACCTGGCAGTATACTACCACACGCAGGGGACCTCCACTCGGGCCACCACAGTATACCAACCTGGCAGTATACTACCACAAGCACGGGCCACCACCCAGGCCACCACAGTATACCAACCTGGCAGTATACTACCACACGCAGGGGCCACCACCCAGGCCACCACAGTATACCAACCTGGCAGTATACTACCACACGCAGGGGATCCCCACCCGGCCCACCACAGTATACCAACCTGGCAGTGTACTACCACACGCAGGGGGCCCCCACCCGGCCCACCACAGTATACCAACCTGGCAGTATACTACCACACGCAGGGGGCCCCCACCCGGGCCACCACAGTATACCAACTTTGTAGAAGGCAAAGAGGAAGAATTTTGACAATCAAGTTAATTATACAAGACTGCTAGATTACAGGGCAGAGTGGGAGGGGGCCCCATCATGCATGCTCGAGGGCCCCCTCCTCATGCATGCTCGAGGGCCCCTCCTCATGCATGCTAGAGGGCCCCCTCCTCATCATGCATGCTAGAGGGCCCCCTCCTCCTCATGAACGCTCGCAGGGGATTTTATGCATGCAAGAGGCTTCCGAATCCCATGAGACCTGCTGCCACGCCTTAACATGCGATAATGCATGTTACCTCGACCTGCACACCCCTACGACCCTCACCCTGCACCCCCCCACGACCCTCACCCTGCACACCCCCACGACCCTCACCCTGCACACCCCCATGACCCTCACCCTGCACACCCCCACGACCCTCACCCTGCACACCCCCACGACCCTCACCCTGCACACCCCCACGACCCTCACCCAGTCGTGGGGGTGTGTAAGATGAGGGTCGTGGGGATATGCTGGGTTAGGGTCGTTGGGGTGTGCAGGGTGAGGGACGTGGTTGTGTGCTAGGTGAGGGTGGTAGTTGTGTGCTAGGTGAGGGTCGTGGGTGTGTGCAGGGTGAGGGTCGTGGGTGTGTGCTGGGTGAGGGTCGTGGGGGTGTGCTGGGTTAAGGTCGTGGGGGTGTGCTGGGTTAGGGTCGTTGGGGTGTGCAGGGTGAGGGAAGTGGCTGTGTGCAGGGTGAGGGTCATGGGGGTGTTCAGGGTGACGGTCGTGGGGCTGTGCAGGGTGAGGGTCGTGGTGGTGTGCAGCGTGAGGGTCATGGGGGGTTTAGGGTGAGGGTCGTAGGGGTGTGCAGGGAGAGAGTCGTGGGGGTGTGCAGGGTAAGGGTCCCGGGATATGCAGTTTGAGTGTCGTGGGGGGTGCAGGGTGAGGGTCGTGGGGGTGTGCAGGGTGAGGGTCGTTGGGGAGCGCAGGGTGAGGGTCGTGGGGGTGTGCAGGTTGAGTGTCGTAGGGTGTGCTGAGTGAAGGGTCGTAGGGATGTGCAGGGTGAGGGTCGTGGGGGTGTGCAGGGTGAGTGTCGTTGTGGTGTGCACGGTGAGGGTCGTGGGGGAGTGCTGGGTGAGGGATCGAGGAAGTGTGCAGAGTGAGGGTCGTGGGGGTGTGCAGGGTGAAGGAAGTGGGGGTGTGCAGTGTGAGGATCGTGGGATGTGCAGGGTGACGGTCGTGGAGGTGTGCTGGGTGAGGGTTGTAGGGTGTGCTGCGTGAGGGTCGTAGGGGTATCCTGGGTAAGGGTCGTGGAGGTGTGCAGGGTAAGGGTCGTAGGGTGTGTTGGGTGAGGGTCGTGGGGGTGTTCTGGGTGAGGGTCGTGGAGGTGTGCAGGGTAAGGGTCGTAGGGTGTGCTGGGTGAAGGTCGTAGGGGTGTACTATGTGAGGGTAGTGGGGGTGTGCAGGTTGAGGGTCGTGGGGATGTGCAGGATGAGGGTCGTTGGAGTGTGCAGCGTGATGGTCGTGGGAGTTGTGCTGAGTGAGGGTCATGGGAGTGTGCAGGGTGAGGGTCGTGGGGTTTGCAGGGTGAGGGTCGTGGGGGTGTGCAGGGTGAGGGTCTTAGGTTGTGCTGGGCTAGGGTCGTAGGAGTGTGCAGGGTGAGGGTCTTGGTGGTGTGCAGGGTGAGGATCGTAGGGTGTGCAGGGTGAGGGTCGTAGGGTGTGCAGGGTGAGGGTCTTATTAGGGAGTGCTGGGTGGGGGTCGTAGGGGTGTGCAGGGTGAAGGTCGTAGGGTGTGTGCTGGGTGAGGGTCGTGGGGGCGTGCAGGGTGAGGGTCGTGGGGGTGTGCAGGGTGGGGGTCGTGGTGGTGTGCAGGGTGAGGATCGTTGTTGTGTGCAGGGTGAGGGTCGTGAGGTTGTGCAGGGTGAGGGTCGTAGGGATGTGCTGGGTGAGGGTCGTGGTGGTGTGCAGGGTGAGGGTCGTGGGGTTGTGCAAGGTGAGGGTCGTGGGGGTGTGCAGAGTGAGGGTCGTGGGGGTGTGCAGGTTGAGGGTCGTGGGAATGTGCAGGATGAGGGTCGTGGACGTGTGTAGGGTGAGTGTCATGGTGGTGTGCAGGGTGAGGGTCGTGGTGGTGCGCAGGGTGAGGATCGTGGGGGTATGCTGGTTGAGGGTCGTGGGGGGGTACAGGGTGAGGGATGTGGTGTGGGCAGGGTGAGGATCGTGGGGGTATGCTGGGTGAGGGTCGTGGGGGTGTGCAGGGTGAGGGTTGTGGTGGTGTGCAGGGTGAGGGTCGTAGTTGTGGGCAGGGTGAGGATCGTGGGCGTATGCTGGGTGAGGGTCGTGGGGGTTGTGCCGGATGAGGGTCGTGGGAGTGTGCAGGGTGAGGGTCGTGAAGGTAGGTTGGGTGAGGGTCGTTGTTATGTGCAGGGGGAGGGTCGTGTTGTTGTGCAAGGAGAGGGTCGTTGGGATGTGCTGGGTGAGGGTCGGGATGGTGTGCAGGGTGAGGGTCGTGGGGGTGTGCAGGGTGAGGGCCGAGAGGGTGTGCAGGGTGAAGGTCATGAGGGTGTGCTGGGTGAGGGTCGTGGGGGTGTGCAGGATGATGGTCGTGGGGGTGAGCTGGGTGAGGGTCGTGGGGTGTTTATAGGGTTAGGGTCGTGGGGTTGTGCAAGGTGAGGGTCGTGCGGGGTGTGCAGGTTGAGGGTCGTAGGGGTGTGCATTGTGGGGGTCGTGGTGGTGTGCAGGGTGAGGATCGTTTTTGTGTGCAGAGTGAGGGTCGTGGGGTTATGCAGGGTGAGGGTCGTTGGGATGTGCTGGGTGAAGGTGGTGGTGGTGTGCAGGGTGAGGGTCGTGGGGTTTTGCAAGGTGATGGTCGTGGGTGTTGTGCAGGTTGAGGGTCGTTAGGGTATGCAGGGTAAGGGTCTTGGTGGTGTGCAGGGTGAGGGTAGTGTTGGTGTGCAGGGTGAGGGTCGTGCTGGTGTTCAGTGTGTGGGTCGTTGGGGTTTTCGGTGAGAGTCATGGGGTTGTACAGGGTGAGGGTCATGGGAGGTTAATGGTGAGGGTCGTGGGGGTTTAGGGTGAGGGTCGTGGGGGTGTGCAGGGTGAGGGTCATGGGGTAGTGCAGGGTGAGGGTCGTGGGGATTTGGGGTGAGAGTCGTGGGGTTATGCAGCGTGAGGGTCATGGGGGGTTTAGGGTGAGGGTCGTAGGGGTGTGCAGGGAGTGGGTCGTGGGGGTGTGCAGAGTAAGGGTCGTGGGGCTGTGCAGGGTGAGGAAAGTGGGAGTGTGCAGGGTGAGGGTCGTGGGGGTGTACAGCGTGAGGGTCGCGGGGGTGTGCAGGGTGAGGGTCGTGGGGGTTTGGAGGGTGAGGGGTCTTGGTGGTGTGCAGGGTGAGGATCGTAGTGGTGTGCAGGGTAAGGGTCATGGGGGGTTTAGGGTGAGGATAGTGGGAGTGTGCAGAGTGAGGGTCCTGGGATATGCAGTTTGAGTGTCGTGGGGGTGCAGGGTGAGGGTCGTAGGGGTCTGCAGGGAGAGGGTCGTAGGGGTGTGCAGGGTGAGGGTCTTAGTGGCGTGCAGGGTGAGGGTCGTGTTGGTGTGCAGGGTGAGGGTCGTGGGGGTTTGCAGGATGAGGGTCGTAGACGTGTGCAGGGTGAGGGTCGTGGGGGTGTGCAGGGTGAGGGTCGTTGGGGTGTGCAGGGTAAGGGTCGTGGTGGTGTGCAGGGTGATGTTCGTTGGGGTATGCTTGGTGAGGGTCGTGGGGGTGTGCAGGGTGAGAGTCGTGGGGGTTGTGCAATGTGAGGGTCATAGGGTGTGCTGGGTGAGGGTCGAGGGGGTGTGCAGGGGTGAAGGTCGTGGGGGTGTGCTATGTGAGGGTCGTAGAGGTGTGCTGGGTGAGGGTCGTGATGGTGTGCTGGGTGAGGGTCGTAGGGGTGCGCAGGATGAGGATCGTGTTGGTGTGCAGAGTGAGGGTCGTAGGGTGTCCAGGGCAAGGGTCGTAGGGTGTGCTAGGTGAAGATCGTGGGGGTGTGCAGGGTGAGGGTCGTAGGGGTGTGCAGGGTGAGGATCGTGGTGGTGTGCTGGTTAAGGGTCGTGGGGGTGTGTTGCGTGAGAGTCGTGGGAGTGTGCAAGGTGAGGGTCGTGGACGTGTGCTGGGTGAGGGTCGTGGGGGTGTGCAGGGTGAGGGTCGTGGGGGTGTGCTGGGTGAGGGTCGTGGGGGTGTGCAGGGTGATTGTCGTGGGGGGTGTGCAGTGTGAAGGACGTGGGGTGTGCCGGGTGAGGGTCGTGGGGGTGTGCAGGGTGAGGATCGAGGTAGTGTGCCGAGTAAGGGTCATAGGGTGTGCTAGGTGAAGATCGTAGGGCTGTGCAGGGTGAGATTCGTAGGGTGTGCAGGGTGAGGATCGTAGGGTGTCCTGGGTGATGGTCAGGGTTGGTGTGCAGGGTGAAGGTCGTAGGGTATGCTGCGTGAGGGTCGTAGGGGTGTGCTGGGTCAGGGTCGTGGTGGTGTGCAGGGTGAGGGTCGCAAAGTGTGTAGGGTGAGGGTCGTAGGGTGTGCTGGGTGAGGGTGGTAGGGGTGTGTAGGGTGAGGGTCGTGAAGGTGTTCTAGGTGAGGGGTCGTGGAGGTTTGTTGGGTGAGGGTCGTGGGGGTGTGAAGTGTGAGGATCGTGGGATGTGCAGGGTGACGGTCATGGAGGTGTGCTGGGTAAGTGTCGTAAGGTGTGCTGCGTGAGGGTCGTAGGGGTATCCTGGGTAAGGGTCGTGGTGGTGTGCAGGCTGAGGGTCGTAAAGTGTGCAGGGTGAGGGTCGTAGGGTGTGCTGGGTGAGGGTCGTGGGGGTGTTCTGGGTGAGGGTCGTGAGGGTGTGCTAGGTGAGGGTCGTGGTGGTGTGCTGGGTGAAGGTCGTAGGGGTGGGCAGAGTGAGGGTCGTGGGGGTGTGCAGGGTGGAGGTCGTGATGGTGTGCAGGGTGAGGGTCGTGAGGTTGTGCAGGGTGAGGGTCGTTGGGATGTGCTGGGTGAGGGTCGTGGTGGTGTGCAGGGTGAGGGTCGTGAAGGTGTGCAGTGTGAAGGTCGTGATGGTGTGCAGGGTGAGGGTCGTGGGGTTGTGCAAGGTGAGGGTCGTGGGTGGTGTGCAGGTTGAGGGTCGTGGGAATGTGCAGGATGAGGGTCGTGGACGTGTGCAGGGTGAAGGTCGTTGGGGTGTGCAGGGTAAGGGTCGTGGTGGTGTGCAGGGTGATGTTCGTAGGGGTATGCTGGGTGAGGGTCGTGGGGGTGTGCAGGGTGAGGGTCGTGGGAGTGTGCAGGGTGAGGGTCGTGGGGGTGTGCTGGGTGACGGTCGTCGGGGTTTGCAGGGTGAGGGGTCGTGGGGGTGTGCTTGGTGAGGATCGTGGAGGTGTGCTGGTTGAGGGTCGTGGGGGTGTGCAGGGTGAGGGTCGTAGGTGTGTCCAGGCTGAGGGTCGTAGGGTGTGCTGGGTGAGAGTCGTGGGGGTGTGCTGGGTGGGGGTCGTGGAGTTTTGCTGTTTGAGGGTCGTGGGGGTGTGCAGATTGAGGGTCGTGAGGGTGTGCAGGGTGAGGGTCGTGGGTGTGTGGAGGTTGAGGGTCGTTGGGGTGTGCAGGGTGATGGTCAAAGGGGTGTGCTGGGTGAGGGTCGTGTGCGTGTGTAGGTTGAGGGTCGTTTGGATGTGCAGAGTGAGGGGTCGTGGGGGTGTACTGGGTGAGAGTCGTGGGGGAATGCAGGGTAAGGGTCGTGAGGGTGTGCAGCGTGAGGGTCTTAGGGGAGTGCAGGGTGAGGGTCGTGAGGGTGTGCAAAGTGAGGGTCGTGGGAGTGTGCAGGGTGAGGGTCGTGGGGTTTTGCAGGGTGAGGGTCGTGGGGGTGTGCTGAATGAGGGTCGTGAGGGTGTGCAGGGTGAGGGTCGTGGAGGTGTGCAGGGTGAGGGTCATAGTGGTGAGCTGGGTGAGGATCGTGTGGGTGTGCAGGGTGAGGGTCGTGTGGGTGTGCAGGGTGAGGGTCATAGTGGTGAGCTGGGTGAGGATCGTGTGGGTGTGCAGGGTGAGGGTCGTAGGGAGTGCTGGGTGAGGGCCGTGGGGATGTACAGGGTGAGGGGTCGTGGGGGTGTGCAGGGTGAGGGTCGTGGGGTTGTGCAGGGCAAGGGTCGTGGGGTATGCAGGGTAAGGATTGTGTGAGTGTGCAGGGTGAGGGTCGTAGGGTGTGCTGGGTGAGGGTCGTGGGGGTGTGCTGGGTGACGGTCGTCGGGGTTTGCAGGGTGAGGGGTCGTGGGGGTGTGCTTGGTGAGGATCGTGGAGGTGTGCTGGTTGAGGGTCGTGGGGGTGTGCAGGGTGAGGGTCGTAGGTGTGTCCAGGCTGAGGGTCGTAGGGTGTGCTGGGTGAGAGTCGTGGGGGTGTGCTGGGTGGGGGTCGTGGAGTTTTGCTGTTTGAGGGTCGTGGGGGTGTGCAGATTGAGGGTCGTGAGGGTGTGCAGGGTGAGGGTCGTGGGTGTGTGGAGGTTGAGGGTCGTTGGGGTGTGCAGGGTGATGGTCAAAGGGGTGTGCTGGGTGAGGGTCGTGTGCGTGTGTAGGTTGAGGGTCGTTTGGATGTGCAGAGTGAGGGGTCGTGGGGGTGTACTGGGTGAGAGTCGTGGGGGAATGCAGAGTAAGGGTCGTGAGGGTGTGCAGCGTGAGGGTCTTAGGGGAGTGCAGGGTGAGGGTCGTGAGGGTGTGCAAAGTGAGGGTCGTGGGAGTGTGCAGGGTGAGGGTCGTGGGGTTTTGCAGGGTGAGGGTCGTGGGGGTGTGCTGAATGAGGGTCGTGAGGGTGTGCAGGGTGAGGGTCGTGGAGGTGTGCAGGGTGAGGGTTGTGGGGTACAGCAAGGTGAGGGTCGTGGGGCTATGCAGGGTGAGGGTCGTGGGGATGAGTAGGGTTAGAATCGTGTGAGTGTGCAGGGTGAGGGTCGTAGGATGTGCTGGGTGAGGGTCGTGGGGGTGTACAGGGTGAGAGGTCGTCGGGGTGTGCTGGGTGAGGGTCGTAGGGGAGTGCAGGGTGAGGGTCGTGAGGGTGTGCAAAGTGAGGGTCGTGGGAGTGTGCAGGGTGAGGGTCGTGGGGTTTTGCAGGGTAAGGGGTCGTGGGGGTGTGCTGGGTGAGGGCCGTGGGGGTGTGCAGGTTGAGGGTCGTGGGGTGTGCTGGGTGATGGTCGTGGGGTTTTCCAGGGTGAGGGGTCGTGGGGTTGTGCTGGGTGAGGGTCGTGGGGGTGTGCTGGGTGAGGGTCGTGGTGGTGTGCTGGGTGAAGGTCGTGGGGGTGTGCAGTGTGATGGTCGTGGGGGTGTGCAGTGTGAGAGTCGTGGGGGTGTGCAGGGTGAGGGTCGTAGGGGTGTGCAGTGTGAGGGCCCTGGGGGTGTGCAGGGTGAGGGTCGTGGGGGTGTGCAGTGTGAGGGCCCTGGGGGTGTGCAGTGTGAGGGTCGTGTGTGGCAGGTCAGGGACGTGTGTGACAGGTCAGGGGCGTGTGTGACAGGTCAGGGACGTGTGTGGCATGTCAGGGACGTGTGTGACAGGTCACGGGCGTGTGTGGCAGGTCAGGGGCGTGTGTGGCAGGTCACGGGCGTGTGTGGCAGGTCAGGGGCGTGTGTGGCAGATCAGGGGGCGTGTGTGGCAGGTCGTGACGTTTGTGGCAGGTCACGGGCGTGTGTGGCAGGTCAGGGGCGTGTGTGGCAGATCAGGGGGCGTGTGTGGCAGGTCGTGACGTTTGTGGCAGGTCAGGGACGTGTGTGGCAGGTCAGCGGCGTGTGTGGCAGGTCAGGGGCGTGTGTGGCAGGTCAGGGACGTGTATGGCAGGTCAGGGACGTGTGCGGCAGGTCAGGGACGTGTGTGGCAGGTCAGGGGCGTGTGTGACAGGTCAGGGGCGTGTGTGGCAGGTCACGGGCGTGTGTGGCAGGTCAGGGGCGTGTGTGACAGGTCAGGGGCGTGTGTGGCAGGTCACGGGCGTGTGTGGCAGGTCAGGGGCGTGTGTGACAGGTCAGGGGCGTGTGTGGCAGGTCACGGGCGTGTATGGCAGGTCAGGGACGTGTGTGGCAGGTCAGGGGCGTGTGTGGCAGGTCAGGGGCGTGTGTGGCAGGTCAGGGGCGTGTGTGACAGGTCAGGGGCGTGTGTGACAGTTCAGGGACGTGTGTGGCAGGTCACGGGCGTGTGTGGCAGGTCACGGGCGTGTGTGGCAGGTCAGGGACGTGTGTGGCAGGTCAGGGGCGTGTGTGGCACGTCACGGGCGTGTATGGCAGGTCAGGGACGTGTGTGGCAGGTCAGGGACGTGTGTGGCAGGTCAGGGGCGTGTGTGGCACGTCACGGGCGTGTATGGCAGGTCAGGGACGTGTGTGGCAGGTCAGGGGCGTGTGTGGCAGTCACGGGCGTGTGTGGCAGGTCAGGGGCGTGTGTGGCAGGTCAGAGGCGTGTGTGGCAGGTCACGGGCGTGTGTGGCAGGTCAGGGACGTGTGTGTCATGTCACGGGCGTGTGTGGCAGGTCACGGGCGTCTATGGCAGGTCAGGGACGTGTGTGGCAGGTCAGGGGCGTGTGTGGCAGGTCACGGGCGTGTGTGGCAGGTCAGGGGCGTGTGTGGCAGGTCAGGGGCGTGTATGGCAGGTCATGGGCGTGTGTGGCAGGTCAGGGACGTGTGTGGCAGATCACGGGCGTGTGTAGCAGGTCAGGGACGTGTGTGGCATGTCAGGGGCGTGTGTGGCAGGTCACGGGCGTGTGTGGCAGGTCACGGGCGTGTGTGGCATGTCAGGGACGTGTGTGGCATGTCAGGGACATGTGTGGCAGGTCGGGAGGTGTGTGGCAGGTCAGGGACGTGTGTGGCAGGTCAGGGGCCTGTGTGGCAGGTCACGGGCGTGTGTGGCAGGTCGGGAGGTGTGTGGCAGGTCAGGGACGTGTGTGGCAGGTCAGGGGCGTGTGTGGCAGGTCACGGGCGTGTGTGGCAGGTCGGGACGTGTGTGGCAGGTCAGGGACGTGTGTGGCAGGTCAGGGACGTGTGTGGCAGGTCAGGGACGTGTGTGGCAGGTCAGGGACGTGTGTGGCAGGTCAGGGGCGTGTGTGGCAGTTCAGGGACGTGTGTGGCAGGTCAGGGGCGTGTGTGGCAGGTCAGGGACGTGTGTGGCAGGTCGGGACGTGTGTGACAGGTCAGGGACGTGTGTGGCAGGTCAGGGGCGTGTGTGGCAGGTCAGGGTCGTGTGTGGCAGGTCAGGGGCGTGTGTGGCAGGTCACGGGCGTGTGTGGCAGGTAACACGTCAATAGCTCCTATGGGTCTATATTGATCTACTTACATTGATTTATATTGATCTATATTGATCTACATTTGTCACTCCAGGTCCCCTGGGGCTCGTTCAAGTCACTCCAGGTCCTCTGGTGGTCGTCCAAGTCACTCCAGGTCCCCTGGGGCACGTCCAGGTCACTCCAGGTTCACTGGGTGTCGTCCAGGTCACTCCAGGTCCCCTGGGGCTCGTTCAAGTCACTCCAGGTCCTCTGGTGGTCGTCCAAGTCACTCCAGGTCCCCTGGGGCACGTCCATGTCACTCCAGGTTCACTGGGTGTCATCCAGGTCACTCCAGGTCCCGTCGGGGGTCGTCCAGGTCACTCCAGGTCCTCTGGGGGTCGTCCAGGTCACTCCAGGTCCCCTGGGAGTCGTCCAGGTCACTCCAGGTCCCTTGGGGGTCGTCCAGATCACTCCAGGTCCCTTTGGGCTCGTCCAGGTCACTCCAAGTCCTCTGGGGGTCGTCCAGGTCACTCCAGGTCCCCTGGGAGTCGACCAGGTCACTCCAGGTCCCTTGGGGGTCGTCCAGATCACTCCAGGTCCCTTTGGGCTCGTCCAGGTCACTCTAAGTCCTCTCGGGGTCGTCCAGGTTACTGCAAGTCCTCTGGGGGTCGTCCACGTCACTCTAAGTCCTCTGGCGGTCGTCCAGGTCACTCCAAGTCCCCTGGGGGTCGTCCAGGTCACTCCAGGTCCCCTGGGAGTCGTCCAGGTTACTCCAGGTCCCTTTGGGCTCGTCCAGGTCACTCCAAGTCCTGTGAGGCTCATCCAGGTCACTCCAGGTCCCCTGGGGGTTCGTCTAGGTCACTCCAGGTCTCTGTGTGTTAAGTCCACCCTGGGAGTCGTCCAGGTCACTCCAGGTCCTATAGGGGTCGTCCAGGTCACTCCAGGTCCTCTGGATGTCGTCCAGGTCACTCCAGGTCCCCTGGGGGTCGTCCAGGTCACTCCAGGTTCCTTGGGGGTCGTCCAGGTCTCTCTCCAGGTCCTCTGGGAGCCGTACAGGTCACTCCAGGTCCCCTGGGGGTCATCCAGGTCACTCCAGGTCCTCTGGGGGTCGCCCAGGTCACTCCAGGTCCCCCTGGGAGTCGTCCAGGTCACTCCAGGTCGCCTGGGGGTCGTCCATGTCCTCTGAGGCTCATTCAGGTCACTCCAGGTCCTCTGGGTGTCGTCTAAGTCACTCCAGGTCCCCTGCGGGGTCATCCAGGTCACTCCAGGTTCCCTGGGGGTCGTCCATGTTTCTCTACGTCCTTTGGGGGTCGTACAGGTCACTCCAGGTCCTCTGGGGGTCGTACAGGTCACTCCAGGTCCGTTGGGGGTCGTCCAGGTCACTCCAGGTCACCTGGGGGTCGTCCAGTTCCTCTGGGGGTCGTCGAGGTCACTCTAGGGCCCCTGGGGCTCGTCCAGGTGACTCCAGGTCCTCTGGGGGTCGTCCAGGTCACTCCACGTCCCCTGGAGGTCGTCCATGTCCTCTGGGGGTCGTCTAAGTCTTCTGGGGGTCGTCCAGGTCACTCCAGGTCCTCTGGGGGTCGTCCAGGTCACTCCAGGTCCCTTGGGGATCGTCTAGGTCACTTCAGGTCCCTTGGGGCTCGTTCAGGTCACTCCAAGTCCCCTGGGGCTCGTCCAGGTCACTCCAGGTCCTCTGGGTGTCGTCCAGGTCACTCCAGGTCCCCTGGGGGGTCGTCCAGGTCACTCCAAGTTCCATGGGGGTCGTCCATGTCTCTCTAGGTCC